ATGTGTTCCGATCACTCTATCACAGAAAAATAAGAGTTGTAGAACTTATTGAAAACTCAAGACAGCCATAACATTATGTTTTTTTACAAGTGTATGTAAACTTTTCACCACAACTGTATATTAGTATTCAGAATTACATTTTGTTAAATGTAAAACATTTAAGTTCCTGTCTAATTAGTGTCAGGTTAATTACCAGGTTAATTAATCAGGTTAATTACCAGGTTAATTAACCTGATTAATTAACCTGGTTAATTATCTCCAGGTGAGTCAGACTTCAGGTCAGTAATAAAATCTTTTTATTTTTGGAGCTGAAATGTTTTTTTTAAGCTGAAGAAATAAGAACATTTAGTTTCTGTGTCACAAACAGACTAAAGGTCCGATTAAACCTGGTTCTGGTTCTGGACTGAAACATACTTTTATTTAGTGAAAGTTGATCCAAGTTCTTCAGAGCTGTTACACATGAAGCTGGACCCATCCAGAACCTTCAAAACCCTGAAGTGGACTGGTCCTCATTAGTGGAACCAGCTTGTCTGAACCGGGTCTTAACGAGGTTCTGCTCGTTAGACCCGCCTGCTCCTCCTCAGCCTTTTCTCATGTTAATCTTTTCTTCTGTTTGCTGCTAATTAATTAGCATGTTTTAAACGGCGCCGTGTGTTGAAGCGGGTCGAGCCGGGCCCGGCTGCCAGATGCCCGTGTTCTGTTAGTCCAACTATTCTTCTGCTAATTACAGCTCATTATGGACCGGGTCACCCAGTTCTGAGCTGCCAGAACCAACACCAGGTCTCCACCCGAGCAGAACCTGGTGTCTGGACCTGATCAGAACCTGGTTTTTGGACCGGATCAGAACCAGGTGTCTGGGTCTCTGGACTGGATCAGAACCAATCAGAACCATATATTTGGACCAGATTAGAACCATATATTTGGACCATATCAGAACCAGGTGTTTGGGTCTCTGGACCGGATCAGAACCAGGTGTCTGGACCGGATCAGAACCAGGTGTTTGGACCGGATCAGAACCATATATTTGGACCATATCAGAACCAGGTGTTTGGGTCTCTGGACCGGATCAGAACCAGGTGTTTGGACCGGATCAGAACCATATATTTGGACCAGATCAGAACCAGGTGTTTGGGACTCTGGACCGGATCAGAACCATATATTTGGACCGGATCAGAACCAGGTGTTTGTGTCTTTTAAAGTTTATTTTAAAGTAGTAAAACTTTTATTTTGTATTTTTCTTCCACTTCCTGTCAGGTGACCTCTCTGGGCGTGGCCACCTTCAGCCTGTGCGCTCTGAGCATCGACCGGTTCCACGCCGCCACCGGCCCCGCCCCTCAGCGGAGCCAGGAGGCGGAGCCCTGCGGGTCCATCCTGTCTAAGGTGGCTGTGATCTGGGTCGGGTCCATGGTTCTGGCGGCGCCGGAGCTTCTGCTGTGGCAGCTGACCCCGCCCACCTCTGACCCCGCCTCGCTCATGGCGGCGCTGCGAGGCGGCGGCGAGGCGCTGAAGGTGGACGTGTGCGTGCGCTCACCGTCCCCGGACCTGCCGGACCGGGTCCTGGCTCTGGTTCTGACCTACCAGGAGGCCCGGGTCTGGTGGGTGTTCGGGTGCTACCTGTGCCTGCCGCTGCTCTTCACGCTGGCCTGCCACCTGGTGACGGGGCGGGTCTTATCGCAGCGGTCACCAGGGAAACCTGTGTGTGGGAAGCTGCTTGGCCCCGCCCCCTCCTCCTCCTCCTCCTCCTCGATGAGGAAGCAGCAGGGGAGGGAGCAGCGGCGGCGCTCCGTCATCACGGCCCTCGCCCTCCTCCACGCCGCCTGCAACCTGCCGCACAGCGTCTGCAGCATCGTCCTGTCCTACGTCTCCGGCCCGGTTCTGGTTCTGCCGGCGCTGGTTCTGGTGGAGCAGCTTCTGCTGTTCCTCAGGTGTTCGGCCACGCCGGTCCTGCTGCTGAGCCTGAGCCGGACCCTGGGCCGGGCCTTCGTGGACTGCTGCTGCTGCTGCTGCGAGGAGTGCCTCCCTGACTCCGCCTCCTCCTCCTCCTCCTCCTACACCACCGCCACCTCCGCACTCTCCTCGCCCACCTCCCCCTCCCCCGCCTCCCTGGAGCCCGTAAAGAGCGGGTCAGAACCGGACCCGGCGGAGGCCTTGGGGACGCCCTGCTGAGTCCAGGAACCAGGAACTGAAAACCTGGTCCAGTTCTGGGAGGACTCTCAGGTACCACCACCTCAGTTAAACATTCAGATGCTTTTATTTTGGTGAAGAAATTAAAACAGGAAGTAATAAATAAAGAGTTTTAGTCTTTTAAACAGATTGTAGTTTTTTACTTAATCTTTAAAAACTAGATTTATTTTATCTCCAGGTTTGACTGTTTTTATAGAATCATTAGATGAAGCTCATTCAGGACCTGTTGTTGTTGTTGTTGTTGTTGTTGTTGTTGTTGTTGTGGTCAGTACTGTAATCAGTAGATGTTTTTATGTAAAGATCTGTAGGGTTTTCTGCTGTTTGTTTTTTACACATTTTATTACTGTTGGTTTAATAAAAATGTATTTTTCTTTCAGAAACACTTCCTGAGTTGTTGTTTTTATTTTTTATTTATAAAAATAAAAACAAACATTTTGTTCCATTAATTATAAATCCTGAAAAAACTTTATTTGTTTTTAAATGAAAACAGAACTGAATGAAGTTCAGCCCATGGGTTTGGAGCAAACAGGAAGTCCAACAGTGTTGATGAAGCTCTGCCTTGTTGTTGTTGTTGTTGTTGTTGTTGTTGTTGTTGTTGTTGTGGTTGTTTTGTTTGTCTGGAAGAACCGGGCCTTTCCCCGTCGGTTCTGATCCATTTGGAATGTGTCTGAGTTCTGAACGCCCACAGGAGGAGAGGAGCCTCCACGCTCCGCTGAGATGCTTCTTTTTCTGATTATTCAAATCAAAGGAAGGTCAGAGCTCCACAAAGAGTCACCCTCTGAGTTCACACACACACAGACTCACAACACACACAGACTCACAACACACACAGACTCACAACACACACACACATAATGGACCCGGTGTGAACTGTCGCTCTGGACAACAGAAAAGAATTCTTGTTTTTGTAAAAACCTCTCAGAGGTTCTGCTTCTACAAACACAGATCTCTGCTCTCTGATTGGTCGGTCTGGATCACTTCCTGAGCTTCTATTGGCTGTTCGTTCTTTTCAAAATGTCTTTCAGAACCACAGCAGAACAAATGGATCAGAACCGTGTTCCAGTTTCAGAGTTTTTAATCCAAGCTGGTTCATCCTCCATCCTGTCTGTCTCACTCCATCCCTGTCTGTCTCACTCCATCCCTGTCTGTCTCACTCCATCCCTGTCTGTCTCACTCTGTCTCTGTCTCACTCTGTCTCTGTCTCACCCTGTCTCTGTCTCACTCTGTCTCACTCTGTCTCTGTCTCACTCTGTCTCTGTCTCACCCTGTCTCTGTCTCACTCTGTCTCACTCTGTCTCTGTCTCACTCTGTCTCTGTCTCACCCTGTCTCTGTCTCACCCTGTCTCTGTCTCACTCTGTCTCACTCTGTCTCTGTCTCACTCTGTCTCTGTCTCACCCTGTCTCTGTCTCACTCTGTCTCTGTCTCACTCTGTCTCTGTCTCACTCTGTCTCACTCTGTCTCTGTCTCACCCTGTCTCTGTCTCACCCTATCTCACTCTCTGTTTCACTGTGTCTCACCCTGTCTCTGTCTCACTCTGTCTCTGTCTCACCCTGTCTCTGTCTCACCCTGTCTCTGTCTCACTCTGTCTCTGTCTCACTCTGTCTCACCCTCCTGGGTCTCAGTAGATTCTGTTCAGATTCTTCAGTTTATTTGACGAACAGAACCGACTCGGTCCGGTCCGGTCTGGATTTAAACACCTGGAGCTCCTTCACAGTTTCTGAGCTGACATATTTGTCCTCCCACGTCTCTGAGTCCCCGGGCGGAGACGAGGACAGGGGGAGGGGGGCTCAATAAGGCCGGCTTTGTTCTGGACCCCCCCCCCCCCCTCAGAGGGAAACTCCTGAACAAAGCTGCAGATCAATCTCCATCCAGAGGGAGTTGCTAAGTTACAAACACCCACCAGCGGCCCGAGGAACACGAATCGGATCAGAACCGACCCAGCTTCTCCGTCTCCATGGTAACCAGGCTCAGATCTCAGACCTGGTTCTGTTTCCTGGAGGAGGAACAAACAAACAAACAAACATGAAGAGTTGAGACTAAATAAATCAACTCAAATCCAGACCTGATCCTGGGTTTATTTAATCTGAGCCTCTAAACTGGGTCGAGTGCAGATTAACCCGGTTCAGACCTGAGAGAACCAGAGTTTGGACTGAGATCAGCTGGTGTCGGGTCAGAACCGTCCGAGTGTTAAAACAGGAACCTTTAAACCTTAAACGGCTCGAAGAACTTCATCTGAGCAGAAAACTTCAGAATCTTTGAACAGAGAGCGGCTCGGTCTGAGGCAGGGTTCTGATCCGCAGCAGGTTCTGGTTCCGTCTTCCTGATCCTGTCAGTGTGCTGCTGGGTCACAGCTTCTGCTTCCTGTCTGTAAGGCTCGGTGACCTTTGACCTTTCAGCACTGCTGTTGCCTTTCTGCCCCGGCCGGTGTCCTGCCAGGCCTGGATCAGGGTCCAGCAGAGGTTCTGGTCCGTCTGATTGATGCTGCTGGTGGTTCCGGATGTTCTGTTCAGTGTCAGACAGCAGGCGGTGGAACTGGCCGAAGGCCCGGGGGGAGGGGGG